GTTGTGACAACAGCCACAGAACAAAAGGTTCACCTTTTTCATCTATTTTTACTTCTCAGGAGGCCCTGGTCCTGCAGTCTTTTAATTAGAGAACTGTTTTCCCCTTCTTGGCTCTGCACACATGTTTTCTGTATAATATTAAACAGTAACCTGTGAGTCTCCCACATCCTGGTATGCTCTGGATCACAGACCACATTTTTTAAACACACGTACACACACACACTCATCACAGACCACATTTTTGAAACACACACACACACACACACACACACGCATGAGACCAAAATCTGTACTGGCTGACTACTGGCAAGGCAAAGTAAAACCGCATTAAATTTGGCTCGCTTTCTTGCTTGCCTTCTCTTTTTCTTTTTTCCTTCCTTCCTTCCTTTCTTTTCTTTCTTTTTAACAATTTGATTGAGATATGATTTACATGTCATAATATTCATCCATTTTAAATGTGCAATTCAGTGTTTTAAATTTTTTTACTGAGTTGTGTATTGGCTATTTCTTCTTGGAAATAGGGCCACTGGAGAAACATCTTGACCCAAACCCACTCTCCCCACTTTGAAAACAGACCAGTAAATAGCACAGAGCAAATTCTGTTTCACCCCCAAAATAGTTATTATTCATTTCATTATGCCATTAACAGCTTACTTCCTGTGTTTTGATTCTGAGCTGTTCAGAAGCCACATTGCTTAGTTTTTACACTATCAAGAGATTTCTTTTGTGTTACAGGTGTTTTTTATTTATTTGTTTCTTAGTGGTTTAGTTAGGAGTCTTTAGCTCTTTGCTTTATCTGCTGGGCTAATTAGAGAGATTTGAAATGAACTTTTGTGGCATGACAGACTGTACGTAAATATGTGGTATTCAAAGCTAAGCCTAAGCATTGATAGCATTCTTTTGAAACTAGTGGAAAGGAAGATACTTAGAAACATAAGTAGGGCGCAGAGGCCTAGAACCCTTTCCTAGTATTAAAATCTTATTATATAATTGGGCTTTAACTCTGTGAGTCTCCATTTTCTCATCTGAAGAACAGGAATTAAAATAACCACTTCAGGAGATTAGCCTGAGGATCCGATTCATCGGAAAGCACCTAGAACAAAATCGATTAAAAAAAAAAACTATCAATATTCATTGAATATGAATCTTGAGGAACTTTACTAGTGCTATAAGAATTGTTTGTCAGGGTGCATTAATAAAAGCATAGTGCCTTCTGCTAAATGAGGGTGTACTAGTTTGATTATTCACTCAACAAATAGGTCATTACTGCTGCCTGCCAGGCACTATGGAGAGAATAGGAGACAGGAAGACAGTCAGGTGAAGGCAATGTTCACAGTATGGTTGTGCAAATAAATATCTGAATGTAAATTGTGCAAGGATTATAAAAGAAACTTCTGGGATGTGTGTGTGCGTGTAAATCTTTAAAGCAGTTTAAGAGACTGTATTTTGTTGATAAATTTATGCCTATAGGCATAGAAAATTTTTTCTGGAACAACTCATGAGAAATTAGTTACAGAGGCTTCATTTTTATGAAAGGAACTAGAAAAGCACATAGGGGAACATCTTCCACTTTTTATTTTGTACTTTCTGTAAAATTTTAAGTTTCTAACTAAATTTTTTTTTTTTTTTTTTTTTAGACAGAGTCTCACTGTGTCACCCAGGCTGGAGCGCAGCGACTTGATCTCAGCTCACTGCAACCTCTGACTCCCAGGTTCAAGCAATTTACCTGCCTCAGCTTCCGGAGTAGCTGGGATTATAGGCATGTGCCACCCACGCCTGGCACATATTTGTATTTTCAGTAGAAACAGGGTTTCACCATGTTGGCCAGGCTGGTCTGGAGCTCTTAAGTGATCCGCCTGCCTCGGCCTCCCAAAGTCCTGGGATTACAGGCGTGCACAGCCGCGGCCTAAACTCATGTTTTTGTCATTTGTTTGTTTGGTTAAGTGTCACTGGGCTTCTCTGATCAGCAGGCTGAAAGGCCATTTTTTTTATTTTTCTTCTTAAACTTTTCTCTACTGAAAACAAGACCTGTTACTTAGGATGGATAAATGATTAACTGTTTGAAATATAATTTGTCATGTTAAGCCATTTAAACATTAAACATAACATTATTATACTTAAAAAGACAAAGGTCATTTACAAGAGTGTAAGAATTCATCAGCCTACACCAAACTGTTACTAGCCTACTCTTGCCCAGGTAATACTACTTTTATTCAATAGATATTTTCTCAGTGCCTACAGCATACCAGGCATCCTTCTGGGTATTGGTAGATTAAACAAAGCCCTCAGCAAGTCACAGCCTGGATTCTAGTTGGATAAGCTAGACGATAAATAAGTAAAACAAATATACAGTAAGTGCAATGAAGAGTGACCGGGGAGATGGAGGGTGCTTTTTGTTTATTACACAGAATACCTTCTGGAGTTGCATTCACTACAAATAGAACAGTCAGGAGACCGGTCTGAAGAGACGCCATCTCAGCAGAGGCTTGCATGAAGGAAGGGAAGCGGGAGCCCTGCAAAGGAAAAACGGTTCTGGCCAGCAGGACCTGGAAAGAGCCTCAAACAGGAGAGCGCAAAACCAGTAAAGCAGAGTGCTGAGCTCAGGAGTCTGTGATGCTGTTCTGTTCGCCTGTACTATTGCTCAAGACAGCTCATAATTCAGAACTTGTTTGTTAAAAAGTAAAAATGAAGGCCCGGCGCGGTGGCTCACGCCTATAATCCCAGCACTTTGGGAGGCCAAGGCGGGTGGATCACGAGGTCAAGAGATCGAGACCATCCTGGTCAACAAGGTGAAACCCCGTCTCTACTAAAAATACAAAAATTAGCTGGGCATGATGGTGTGTGCCTGTAGTCCCAGCTACTCGGGAGGCTGAGGCAGGATAATTGCTTGAACCCAGGAGGCGGAGGTTGCGGTGAGCCGAGATCATGCCATTGCACTCCAGTCTGGGCAACAACAGCGAAACTCCGTCTCAAAAAAAAAAAAAAAAAGTAAAAATGAGACACTCATTACTATTAATATATGGTTGTAGGACTTGGAATATGTGGTTCTGGGCATTGCTTCTTTTTTTCAGATATAGAAGAAAATAGTTGATGTAAACTATACCTACTAAAGGAAGAAATACGTATCTTACATGTCAAAAAGAATTTAACTTTTTATAGCCATATTTATTTACAATCACTACAATAATTTTTAATCTATTATCCTCACAAAACCTCATAAAATATACTTTGTAAACTATTGTAGTACATGCCTGTTTTCGTTCCTTGCAAATTATGTAAATAAATGTTACTTCAAGGTCATAAGGAAAAATACTCAGAGACAAACAAGAAGACAGTGAGACACGTTGTTCTCCGCCTACTCTAAGGTGCCCGCCAGTAGGAGGAGCACTACGGTAGGTGAGGAAAACCACACACTCTAAAAAGCAAACACCAAAGCCCAGCCTCGGTTCAGTTCCCGCGGGGCCCTCACCTGAAAATCAAAGGCTGGCTGTTCAGTGATCGCCGTGTCCCGTGACGCATTTTCTTTCCCTTTCCTTTTGTCTATTTTCAGTTCTAACTCTATGAATTCTGACTAAAATAACTGTTTTGTAACCAGTTGTTTTCATTATAACTGGCTGAGCACTAAACTCACCTCTTCTTTCCTCAAGCAGGAGTCTGTGGGCAGATGGCTGTAGTTATTTCCCAACCAGAAGCAATCCCCCCACCTCCCCTTCTTGGAGACATTGGCAACTTTCACACTTTACATATATACGTATATTTTTGTTGTTGTTTTTTGAAACAAGATCTCACTCTGTTGCCCAGGCTGGAGTTCAGTCATGGCTCACTGCAGCCTCGACCTCCCTAGTTCAGGTGATCCTCCCACCTCAGCCTCCTGAGTAGCTGAGGCCACAGGCACTCAGCCACCACCCCCAGCTAATTTTTTTGTAGAGATGGGGTTTTGCCATATTGCCCAGGCTGAGTATTTATATATAATAATATACTATATAATATATAGTATATAGTGTATGTTATATATGTTATATAATATATAGTATATAATATAAAATGTATATATACTACATATTAAAATATATATAAAATACTATAGTATAAGATATAGTATTATCTCTATCATATAAGATATATAATATATATGACATATACTATATTCTATGTATATGAAAATTATATTTGTATCTAAATATATGTTTTATATATATATATATATTTTTTTTTTTTTTTTAAGAGAGTCAGGCTCTCCCTACATTACCCAGGCTTGACTAGAATTCCTAGGCTTAAAGGAACCTCCTGCCTCAGCTGTCTGAGTAGCTGGGGCTACAGGTGCACCCACTGTGCCCAGCTCTCAATTTTCACATTTTTTATTTTCATGACTATAGAGGAAACAGTCACTGTCACCAGATGCTGGTGAGCACCCTACAATGCTCGGGCCAGCCGCCAACAATAAAGAATGCTGTAGTCCAAAATATCATTAGCACCAAGGGTGAGAATCTTGGATATAGAGAAATTGGGACAAATGATGAGGGGCAGAAATGAGTGGGGGACTTTGTTTACTGATGATGTCCGTGGGGTACTTCCGGAGTAATAAACAGCAGACAATTTTTGCCTCAGTTGATGGTGATTCTCTTCTATTGATTGCTCTTTGTTTTTTCTGAAAACTTGGATGTGTGACTTAAGTAGCCCTATGGTAGCCTAGGGGCACAACAGGAGACATGAAAAACGAAGGCAGGTTCAGGCATGCAGCAGGACTGCAAAAGTAACCTTTCTGTTCTAAGACTTGAAAAAGTTTTCAGATCCTTGGTGTACTTTATCAGCAGAACATTCATCTGCATATAGCATTCAGAAGCAAACTAAACTTTTTTTTTCCTCTGAGTCTTTTGTTTCCAAATCAATGGGAAACAAAGGATATCCCCACTCCATTCAGACAGCTTCAGTGATTCTCAAATCAACATGGGAGCAGTCGTTGGGCCATTTAAAATATACAGTGATTTTTTTTTTAAAAAAAAGCAGACTTATTAACCTTGTAAACATTCTATAAAAGTACAAGAGGAATCTTTATAAAGAATAGCCAAGTGTCCTTTTTGTAGATCAGCCCTTTGTACTTTGAAATGTTCATGTCTATGAAATAGAATTGGACACACGAGCCTAGGATAATGCAATTTCCATGTCTTCTAGTAATTGTTCTGTTAAAACATTATATTTCAGCGTCTTAACACTCAGAAGATTAAGTTACTTCGCCCCAAGATCAGTTCCACTTTAAAAAAGCACTTTCGACCCATATTTAACCAACCGTCAGAGAGGATTCAAAAGAGGGCTAATTGAGCACTGAGTGTTTGAAGCATTCAAATCATGGCCCAGGTTTCTTCTTGAAAACACCAACAGCGCAGCCTGGCAGGAAGCAGGGATTAGACAAGAGAATCCATTGAAACTTGCCTTCCAAACTGGAAGAAAAACTTTCAGTAAGAAAGCGTGAAGTTTGAAATCACTGCATGTTATATTATTCATCTTTCAGACTGCCTCCACCCTTATTGGATGGCATTTTCTCCTCTTACCCCAGCTCTGAGCTGCCACCGTAATTCACCAAGAAACGGACTTTAGCAAGAACGACCCACCCTTCAGAGCAAAGTAGCCACCCTTAGCCTGTTTCTCTTTATCACTCGATTCTGTCCGCACTCTATCTGCACACTATCTCTTCTCTCTATCTAAATGTTTTGTAATTCCCTCTGGTATTCCAAGGCCAATGAAATCACAGCCTCCAGTAAGGTGCTAAAGCTGAATGCATTCACCGCTAAGCTGTATTTTTAACCCTTTTCACCCCCCAATTTCAATATTCTCAGACCTCAACAGAATCAAGTTATGGGAAGGCAAGCTGGAAAACCTCACGGGAGATTTCATGAAGAAGAGAGAAGCCCGGGTGTTTATCATTTAAATTCTTGTCCTCATCTCCCTTACCACCCCCAACGATAGAAGCAGCAGGAAACTAACAGTGATAATCAATAATCTAATAAGCTCAGCCAGCCTCAAGTTCTGTTGTTGTTGTTTTTTTCCTTAAACAAAACAAAAACAGGCATTCTGCCCAGAGCACAGAGAGAGAGAACCTCTCTCCTAAAATCCCAGAAGTTTGCTGCCAGTGATTCAGTACATACCTGACAAAAAAAAAAAAAATGTTGCTTAACTGGTTTGGTTGTTTCAGCTGGCTACTACCAAGAGAAGTAAACAGAACCTTATCACTTCAGTTAAGTCTGGCTTGAGCATTATTTTCAAGTAAATATTTATAATTTCAGTGCTATTCCATTGCTAGCACTTCTGTCCTTGGATTAGATTGACTGAAACATGTTCTTAGATTAGCCCGACTCCATAGCAACAGGCCAGTAGAGGCTGCACCCTCACCGCCTGTCCTTTCTGTGGCAGAGGAGGAGGTATTTGGTGACACTCGCCATCAGGACTGACTGTGCAGCTCTCTTGCCAGATAGCAGCTGAATTGAGGAACATTCTTCCTTTGCCATTTGGGCTCTAGTCGATCAGGATTTTTGCTGATCACTTTGCACATCTCAATGAATTTGACACACGGACATTTTTTCTCTCTCTCTCTTCATTCAGGAAGTGGAGAGCCCAGCCTGGAGATTCTCTGCTCCGATGATATAAACAAATTGTAGAGGAAGTCAAGTCAAACTTTCCCTTGCTGCTTTTGTTCTCCCAACTAGCAATTCAGAAAACAGAGCCAACTTTTCTTGGATGCCTTTTAAGATTGCTCTTTAACTGGAATGGCAGAAACCCTCTTGTTTTATTTTGTATCTGTAAAAACAAAGATTCTCCTAAACATATTTTGTTTTCAAAAAAGCAGAAATGCCCTAGAAATTAAAAAAAAAAAAAAAATGCTGTGTTCTGAGACTTTTCAAACCAAATTGCTCCTTTGTCATTACACAGTTACCTAATTGTTTTTCTTTCTTCCACAGATCTCCAGGCTAAAATACAAACAAGAAAGCAATACCGATCTTTGCGTGGATAATAGCTAAACCTGAATAGAAGCTTCCAGGACCCTAATACACAGCCAAGGAAAGCTAACAGTCATGATTCAATAAAGTTGCCGGTGTAAGGCATGCACCAGACAGAAAGGAGACACCATGTCTGTAATCTACAGACACTGCTTTAAACATCACATATAATTAAGTCCTTCCCATGGTGGTGGCTACTTGAAGCTTTATCATTAACTTGTAAGATTTCATCTCTGGATTTCACCAATGGTTCTGAGAACGAACATTTTCAAATGAGAGGCACCTGCTAATCCAGGAGATGTTCTCACCACACCTATTCTCGTCCTCTAGAGAAAGAAGCTCTATGTTAAATGACTGAAGGAAAACAGAAGGGGACATATAACAAAGTGTATGTAGCAGTGGCCCTGGGTGGCTTCCCATGCTGAATGTTCTATTACATTAATCCTGGTGCAAAAAATAAAAAGATGCGACAGCCCCTTGGATGTCAATGTGCCTGCGTTGTTTGTCCTCCGTTGGCCCTCTCTGCACACGGGTGGGTAGCCAGGCTTCAGCACAGCCCTATTCTCTCATGAAACATATCAGTTCAAATACAGGCTCAAACTGCTTGCTGAGTTTCTGTGTTCTTCTCTGTAAAATGGGATATATGGTGGTTGTGTCCTATCGGTTAGAAATAATATGGGTTAGCTGGGCATGGTGGCGCGTGCCTGTAGTCCCAGCTACTCAGGAGGCTGAGGCAGGAGAATTGCCTGAACCCAGAAGGCGGAGGTTGCGGTGAGCCGAGATCGCGCCATTGCACTCCAGCCTGGGTAACAAGAGCGAAACTCCATCCCAAAAAAAAAAAAAAAAAAAGAAAGAATATGGGTATAGATACAGAGATAGTTCTTGTTTAATCCAGTGTGTGGCTCCTGTTAGGTTCTCAATAAAAAAATTGTGTGGTTATTAAAATTCATAACACTATGTGAGTTCTCCTGGGTCAGGAAGAACTGGCATTGCTAGAAGCTCAACCTTACAGCATCTGCAGTGATTTCTGTCAGAATACTTTTCCTCAGTCATGATTTTCTCCTCCCTCTTCATCCATAAATACACATATACTGTAGATATTTATAGACTAATAGGTATATCAAATCCTTTATGCAAGTTGTAATTGACTGTGTAATTACTGAATAAACAGTGGATGAAAAGATAATGGTAGGTTCTGAAAGCCAGCTTTAATTCACATTTTATTTTATATTCATTTATTTGCTTGTCTACATTCTCCTCTCTGTTGATTATTTTCCAGGCATGCTTTTCCCTCAAGCAAGGATCAGGCTGAGGAAGTAATTTCATTTATATTGCAAGAGACAGACAAACAAACAGAAAACCCAGAGGCAGCGACTTACCTGGAGTGCTACGGAGTGTGTGTCTTGGTAGTAGAAGCTGTGTGCACCTCCACACCCCAGAACTGTTTTTGAAGCTTTGATGTAGAAACACAGAATACCTACAGTGACCCTAAGTTTCTGTAAAACAAATATAGCATGTACTGATGAAATTGCCATATATTTATAGAATTCAACAATTGTCTTCCATCAGCTTTATCAAATAGCACAGGATAGAAACAGAAACAGCTCTGATTTGCCCATTACGCAGACGAAGCACATGCTTCAAGGACCAGAAAAGCAGAGATAACACGGTACTCCAGCCCTACTGGCCAAATGACACATGAAAATTCAGGAAAGTTCATTTAAATTTCAACATACAGATTTTTTTGTCCCTTTGAAAGATATACTTTTGTTGCCGGGCACAGTGGCTCAACCCTGTAATCCCAGCACTTTGGGAGGCCGAGGTGGGTCGATCATGAGGTCAGGAGTTTGAGACCAGCCTGGCCAAGATGGTGAAACTCCGTCTCTACTAAAAATACAAAATTTAGCCGGGTGTGGTGGTGGGCGTCTGTAATCCCAGCTACTCGGGAGGCTGAGGCAGGAGAATTGCTTGAATCCAGGA